CCTTTTCATAGGTTTCATTTTTTAAGCAGGCTGCGTTTTGTAGTTGCCTTTAATAACATACTCCAGATGTGACAAACATTTATTTCTTCAATGAATACTAATTGTACTTATTTTATACAAAATACCGTGGGATCCATAGATGTACAAGGTAGGATCCTTGCTTGCTATAAGGACGCATTATATAATAGGGCAGATGATACCTACTAAGTACAAACTACAATATCAGGTGGTATATGAATGTTAGTTGTTTCACTAAGGTCTGTACATATGCTGAAGGAACAGTTACTATCAAAGAAAGTGGGTAGGATTTGAACAGTCAGGGATTTGGGAGGTTGGTGGAGTCATCATTCCAAACAGAAGAATGTAAACACAGCTGTAATTATGGCAGAGAAAGGGATGTGTTTAGATTATGCGACTGATGTGCTGCCTGCAGTGCTAAGGAGGCAACTAGGGATGTGTTTAGAAAACAGAGGTCTGCAGCATTGGTGTGTATGTGTTGGGAATATTACTCTAAAGCAGATTGGCTCCTTGAATGCCAGGACAAGGAGCGTAGATTTTAATTGATGGTAATTTCAGAGCTGCTGACGTATTTTGAGCAGAGTTATGAAGAAAGGCAATTTGGTGATAGCTTGTAGATGGGTTTGGACAAGATGAGTTTTTAGAGACAGTAATTTGTTGGTGTCACTTAGAAAAGGCAGATAAAAAAGGTGTTAGTAGAATTTGGCAACTAATTGGCAAAGTTTAAGGGTGTGGGGCAAGAGTACCATTAAAAGATTAATAATGGTACCTTTGACTAAAATTAGAAATTTAGTCAAGGAAAAGGTGGTTCTGGCTTAAGGAGAGTTACATTTTAGAACTTTTGAGTTTTGCAGTTGCAATGTAGGAGTGTAACTAGGAGAATATTTGGATGTCATTCCCGTAGTTGAAACCTTGGATAATAATGTGTTTATTGTAATCTCACTTAAACTATATGTGTTTCTGTCAGAGCACAAATAAAGATGGTGTCAGATGCACATAGTCAGACTGTTTACATTGGTTAGATATGGAGTGGAGGAGGGGTGGATTTATTACCATTGTTTAAACAATGTTTTGGTTTTTTTAATGTTTCTGTAATTTGAAGGACAATAAAAAGGGTTGACTATTTGAATAAATAGATTCAGTAATGTACAGGAAAAAGGGAACTTGGAGAATGCTCAAATTTGAGGAGCAGGAGGCTGGCCAGTTAGCTCAGGTGGTTAGAGTGCAGCCTTACAAACAGCAAGGTCATGGGTTTGGATCCCAGTACAGGCCAAGCACAAAAAAAAAAAAATTGAGCAGGAAAAATAGCTGGCACGAGTTTACACTTTGAGTAAAAGGAGGAATTAGGTGGAAGTATAAAACTTAAACTTGATTTCCTAAAGAATTCTTTAAAAAAACAGAATTCTAAGACTTAATAGGAACAAATATTTTCCATTTTGGTTATTTTTAATTCTTAATGTTTGGGATTATTTTAATTTTTTTTTTTCCTTTTTGTTTTTTTTCGTGACTGGCAACGGATCGCAACCCTCAGTGTCGCACCCGTACCGGACCGGGACCGGCAACGGGATCGCAACCCTCGGTGTTGCGCCCGTACCTCGCTAAGCCAGTGAGCGGCCAGTCTGTATGTGGGATCCGAACCCTCGGCGGGAGCGTCGCCATGCTCCCAAGCGGCGCACTGTAGCAGTGCGCCACCGGGCCGGCCTAAATATTTTTAACGACTATGAAATTATAAAGGACATGTTTCTTTTGAGCTCTAAAGCTTGTGAAAATGTATGTATCACTACAAATTTGTCTTGAAGATAATTTACTAATTTGGTGCCTGCACATACTGTATAGTGTCACTTGAATTACTTTGGAAATTAGATAATAAGGGATGAGATTTTTATGTACTTTTTTTTTTTTTTGTCCTTTTTTGTGACCAGTAAGGGGATCGCAACCCTTGGCTTGGTGTTGCCCGCACCGCACTCAGCCAGTGAGCGCACCAGCCATCCCTATATAGGATCCAAACCTGCGGTGGCAGCGCCCCTGCGCTCCCAGCGCTGCGCTCTCCCAAGTGCGCCATGGGGCCAGCCCAAGGGATGAGATTTTTAAAATAATCTAATGTGTGGTCTGTCGTCTTGAACTTTGACTTTACAAAACCTTTATTGACCTTTAATTCTGAATTGTCTTGAGGCTTAATATTCATAACTTTGAAAATATTCTTATTTCCTTTAAGGAAGGAAGAATGTCATAACTATTAATGGGAAAACATTCTTTAAAATATTTCATCCAAATGACCTTTTCTTTTCTCTCTTTTTTTTTTTTAGGTATGTTTGTATCCAGTATTGTTCTGATCTTGTCACAGCGATCACTTTTCAAGTTTTACATGTACAGCTCAGCCTTTCTGTTAGCTGCAACTTCAGTGTTGGTGAATTATTATGCTTCTTTGCACATTGACTTCTATGGTGCTTACAACACATCAGCTTTTGGAATTGAGCTGCTTCCTCGGAAAGGGCCCTCACTATGGATGGCACTCATCGTTCTACAGCTAACATTTGGAATTGGGTACATTACACTACTCCAGATTCATTCCATCTATTCACAATTAATTATTTTGGATCTCTTGGTTCCTGTGATAGGCTTAATCACAGAGCTACCATTACACATCAGAGAGACTTTAGTTTTTACTTCTTCCTTGATTCTCACATTAAATACAGTGCTTGTCTTGGCAGTGAAACTTAAGTGGTTTTATTATTCCACACGGTATGTTTATCTTTTAGTGAGGCACATGTATCGAATTTATGGATTACAGTTATTGATGGAGGACACATGGAAGAGAATTCGTTTCCCAGATATACTGCGAGTCTTTTGGTTAACAAGAATTACAGCTCAGGCTACAGTGTTAATATACATTTTAAGAATGGCAAATGAAACGGATTCCTTCTTTATTTCTTGGGATGATTTCTGGGACCTCATTCGCAATCTTATAATTAGTGGATGTGATTCTACACTAACTGTACTGGGCATGAGTGCTGTAATTTCCTCAATAGCCCATTATTTGGGGCTTGGAATATTGGCCTTTATTGGATCAACTGAAGAAGATGACAGGAGGCTTGGCTTTGTAGCACCTGTTTTATTTTTTATTTTGGCTCTTCAGACTGGTTTAAGTGGGCTAAGTCCAGAAGAGAGACTTATTCGCTTAAGTAGAAACATGTGCCTTTTATTAACTGCAGTCCTGCATTTCATCCATGGAATGACAGACCCTGTATTAATGTCTCTTAGTGCCTCTCATGTGTCCTCTTTTCGTAGACATTTCCCTGTGCTGTTTGTCTCTGCTTGCCTGTTTATTCTTCCTGTTTTACTCAGTTATGTTCTTTGGCATCACTATGCACTAAATACATGGTTGTTTGCAGTTACGGCCTTTTGTGTAGAACTCTGCTTAAAAGTAATTGTTTCTCTAACTGTTTATACCTTATTCATGATTGATGGCTACTATAATGTCCTCTGGGAAAAGCTTGATGATTATGTCTACTACGTTCGTTCAACAGGCAATATTATTGAATTTATATTTGGAGTGGTAATGTTTGGAAATGGAGCTTATACTATGATGTTTGAGTCAGGAAGTAAAATTCGGGCTTTAATGATGTGCCTACATGCATACTTTAACATCTACTTACAAGCAAAAAATGGCTGGAAGACATTCATGAATCGTAGGACTGCTGTTAAGAAAATTAATTCACTTCCTGAAATAAAAGGGAGCCACTTACAAGAAATAGATGATGTATGTGCAATCTGCTACCATGAGTTTACAACATCTGCTCGTATTACACCATGTAATCATTATTTCCATGCACTTTGCCTTCGGAAGTGGCTGTACATTCAAGATACTTGTCCCATGTGCCATCAAAAAGTATACAATGAAGATGATATCAAGGATAATTCAAATATATCTAACAACAATGGATTCATTGCACCCAATGAAAATCCAGAGGAAGCTATAGGAGAAGCTGCTGCTGAATCTGACAGGGAATTGAACGAAGAGGACAGTACAGATTGTGATGATGATGTTCAAAGGGAAAGAAATGGAGTGATTCAGCACAGAGGCACAGCAGCTGAAGAATTTAATGATGATTCTGATTAAAATAGCACTTACTAATCATTGAGGTATTTGTTTAAAATTCAGTTCATCCAAAATGGAGTAATGTGCTTCACATCAGTGTGTAACCAAGCACAAAAGCAGTATCAATGTTGAATCTGTGAATGGTTTTCCGTTTACTGTGATGTGCTACTGTAAATATACCTCTTTAATTACTTCTGGTCTCTTTGGTGACCTATTTAAATTTGTGTACATTATTGTACATAGAATAAAATGTTTTCACGTTTTTATGACAAAATCTGAACAAATAGCTTTTTAATAGATGTAATAATCATACAGTGTGTCAACTGTGCCAAAGATTCCTCAGTGAAATTATATGATGTGTTTAACTTTAGACTCTAGTTTTTCTTTAAAATGGGTGGGAGAATGAAAATGAAAATCAGAAACCACATTAAAGTCAAGGAAATAAAATAAATTGCACTAGAGCATAAAGGCTATACATTAGAGTATTTTAACACGAAGGAAAAATTAGCCTGCCAGAAGCAGTTGAGAAACTTTTTTGGAATTTAAGTAGCATTGTAGTTGAACTGGGTTCAAAAGTCACACTGAGAGACTGTGTGAGAGTTGAGAAACAGGCTTATGTCAACTAAACTTTGATATAAACCAGACTGTGCTAATTGTTTAATTTTTATGTAAAATCAGTATATTTGTTACACATTCTGTGTTCGCAGTGTTGTCATAAAATTGTCCTTTCAAACTTTTGAAGAGATTACAAAGTAAAATGGGTGTTTTCATTGTTTTAAACTGAAGCATTAAATGATATAAAAAACCCTGATCTGATTTTATGGATAAAAACGAGGGGATGGTATGTGGTGATATATATATATATAAATATATAATCTCTCTCTTTTTTTAACATGGCAGAAAAGATTTTTATTTAAAAATATTTAAAACATTCTCAAAATTTCAGTATTACAGAATAGTGGCAGAACAAATTCCTTTACAGCAAGCCACACTGCTTCTATTGAATTCTTAAAAGATTCAAACCTTGTATCATCTCTTTAGACAACTTCGAGCGATTTCTTTATTGAAACTTTCAGTAAGTATTACCATGAAATTTTACATACATGATGGAAAATGGAAGACACATACCAATTACATATCAGGAAAAAATATTTTAATGGTGTTGTTATATAGTGTATTGGCTAATTCCAGTGGATCCTCATCTCTTACTGCTGACATTATCTCCAGTATTTGACTAAAACAGAAACAAAAATGGATGGTTATATTTCCAAGTGTGTATTCGTCTTAACAGTTAAACTTTTCATCAATATTAATAGAAAAATTTAACTTTTTACTAGTAATCAGAGATAAATTTCTGGGGCTGTTTTCATGTAACTAGAGCCAAGAACTAGGTTCAAGTAAATTGTAAAATCAGCCTTCTACATTATGTGAACCACAATCATGGAATTACCCCAGTGGAAATGAAGAGTCCTTTAAAACTGTAGTTGTAACACATTAATTAGTGGGTCATGATGAGTATTTAAAAAATTAAGAGGAAAGGTACATTGCACATAGTAAGGGTAAATACCATTCCAGTTTTGGTTTGGTTTTATTTATGTATGTATATGTGTAATGAGTCACAATGGAAGTCCTTTTGGGGGAACAGCACCTAAAGTTTGAAAGCCACTGATTAGAGAACTAGTCCTATAGAGACAGCAAGAAATGGCTACATGGTCACTAAGTACAATGACAGCAAATGAAGTTACTTGGAATAATCCATTGTTATGGAGGTAGGGGGACTTTTTATTCTTGTACTTATTCCCCTGCAAGGGAGAGAATAACCCACTTATCCATCTTACAGTTTCTCTGCCTAGAATGATAATTAGTAGTGTTTCCTAGCAATATTATATATAGGTAGGATAGTTTTACACGTGAATAGAAAGTTCTAAAGTCAAAAGTAAACGTTAAAATATTCTTTGCTTAAGCTTTTTGTTCCCTTAATGGGTACCTTAAATGTGAATACTTTCTAAAGGAGTTAGAGGTGGAGATTTAGGATTAACTGGGATTATTTTTATTATCTGTAATAGTGACACAAAAGCCTTAATATACATACTAAATGAACAGATTATACTAAACTTTCATCTGAGAGTCAAAACTAGCTAAAAGCAAATCTATTAACACTTAAGAAGTAAAAATCCAGTTTTCTTGCTAAACTACAGAATTTTTCTCTTTGCGTTGCTGGTTTCACACAGCTTTACTAAGATTATATTGTATAGCAAAATCACTTTATTCATATTGAGAAACTGCTTATGAGAAGTCCATTAGAGCTTAGCAGGACATTTTATTTTAGTAAGTTTCATAATATGGTTTATTGTAATCTTTGAACAACTCTTTTGCACCCAAACTATTTCTGTGTATCATCAATGCCCTAAAGCTGCAGTTACTCTAAAGAGAATATGAAGTTTAGTGTCCCTGGGAATAGAATGGTTTTTGTTTAATGTGGTACTTTTATTCTAGGCACAGGTTTTTAAAGTGTTGCAAGATCCATATGATTCCTGCCACCCCATCTCCTTCCACTGATATTAGTTACAGCTTTAAAAAAAAATTGCCACTCTTCTGCTTAAAATCCTTTGGGTTCTGATAAAATCTAAAGTTGACATACAATAGCCCTCACAATCTGGCCTCACTGTGCCTTCCCAGACTTACCCCATGCATCCTACCTTGTGCCACACTAAATAAACTCATCGTTCCCCTGCATCAGCCAAGCCCTTCTGCAGTCTCCCTTTGCTCAAGGTGTTTGAATCTGGCCTAACTCCCAGTCATGCTCAGTAAACAACTGAAATGTCTCTTGAGTAGCACTACTGTCTTCGACTATATATCTGCTTATTTGCTCCAGGAGGTCAGAGGTCTTTTGTCTAACTCACAATTGCCTATCTGATGGATGGATGATGCCCTCATCAGTCTTGATTCTTCTGTGCAGGCTTGGTAACTTGTACCTTTCCTGACATATGGCAGAAGCTCCAAAATGTCTGTTACAAGGAATTTATATATCTAAAGGAGAGGAAAGACCTCTATACAAATAATTATTGATAAAAACTTTGTATGTAGGAATTAACTTGCTACAATGTAAAACTTAACAGAATGGAGGTTGATAAAAACTTTGTATGTAGGAATTAACTTGCTAATTAGTAATTAGCATTAGATTAGAGTCGTGTATTTTTGAAATGTGGTTTAAAAATTTCCAGCTTGCAAATTTTCCCAAGCTAATTGAAGAAGAGGTATTTATTCATGGTTACAGTTGATACTCAAGCCTTCATGGTTCTTTAACAGTCTGTGTTTAAAAACACCTTGAAATTTTGTCTTGCAAATATATAGCTAAAGTCAGCATCTATAATTTTACATAAGATTAAGGCAATGTAGAAAACTGACTCGGATACACTTTTGGCAACCACTTCCTCTAAGCTGGCAGTTGGCAAAATACCAGCTTCTTATCTCTAGTGTCCTTTTAGATCTCTGAAGAATTATTTAGAAATATTGTCTCCTGACTGAATTTGCAGTTACCTACATTTCATAAAAATTACAACTGATTCTTTACTAACCAGAATTGAAATATATTCCTCACAATACAGGTTTTAAAGCAGTTTTAAAGTCTTGGACAGCACTAGCATGTTAATAAAGGAAGAGGACCTTTCAAATGTATTTGTATGGAGCAGTTCTTCAGTTTTCTGCCTGCTGTATTTTATTTTATTTTATTTTTTCCTTTTTGTCTTTTTTCGTGTCCGGCAACGGATCGCAACCCTTAGTGTCGCGCCTGTACCGGACTGGGACCGGCAACGGGATCACAACCCTCAGCGTTGCATCCGCACCTCGCTCAGCCAGTGAGCGGGAACCGGTCTGTATGTGGGATCCGAACCCTCGGTGGGGGCGCCGCCGCGCTCCCAAGTGGTGCACTGTAGCAGTGCGCCACCGGGCCAGCCCTGCCTGCTGTATTTTAGATCTGCTTATCTAATATTCTTTGCTTGTTTAAAAATACTAAAAAACGATGGTGCATATGGAAGGAATTATTACAATCTAAAAGTAACAAATCCATTACTTTTTATGAATATGTTATAAATATGCCCAATTGTCTGAACTGGTAAACCATACTACTGACTGATATAGCCTAGATTAAAATGACCTGTTTGTGTAAACAAAAGAAATTGGATTATTGATATAACCAACTTTTCCTGTTATAATATTCTTTATAGCTCTTTGATGGGTAATAGCTCTTTTCACATGTGCTATACATTATAATCAAAATGATTCTTAATTACTGCTTTTTTTAAGCAATAAAATTCTCTAAAGTTCTGCCCCATTTTTTTGGTTGGGAAAAAGGAAATCCTGTTACTTGTCCATTTGTTCCAAGGCTTAAAGAAATTTGTTATTTCTTAAATTTATTCAGGTTGTCAAACATTTAAAATGCAGATTTTTTAACAAAAAGGTCTGCTAAGGCTTCCTTTTTATAAACAGCAGTAGGGAAGTTGCATGTAACTTAAACCAGGTGAGGTGATTATATGGATAGCTTTAAAATCTTTTCCTCTTCCTACAAAATAATACATGACCAGAATGAATTTCTCACTGTTGCAATAAAATCACTTCGGGTTGAGAGGATATGAAAAGAGGAACTGAGATGGGTGCAAATTCCTAAAAATCACTGCATTAAAATGGTGGTGTTTGACCAGAACTTCATTTGGATTTCATAAAACTTAATTTCTGTCCTTTGAATTCATTTTATAAGTGGCATTTGGTGATTGACTAATGATTTTGAAGACCAGGAGAGCAAAATACTTACATTATATGGCAGGGTTCATT